GTTTATATTCAGTTATTCATACAAATAATTTATTTTATGTATGGGTCATATATGAGTTGCTTTATGCTGCAGAGTTAACTTGCTATATTACTTAGTTTTTAATTTTTATTTTGCTATAATATTAATAAATTATTTGCATTATTAACTATAATTATTTTACTAATAGAAATAATTTAAATGATATTGATACTCTATCCTCAACTGACGTACAATGTCAGTGGTCAAAGTTAAAAAAGCCATCTCTAGAACAGTTCAAACCAGTCTCTATAGAACATTTTTGCTGTGTGAAGTCTACTGAAAAAGTTTCATTGACATTTACTCCATCAGAACTAAGGTAACACTATGTTGATTAATATTTTCAGAATTTATTATTTAATAAACGTTTATTTTTTTAATTTCAGATCTGCTCTTATATCTGCTGCACCAAATTCTGCAATAGCTCTGCACAGTGTAGGAGGTAATCCTGAAGGTTAGTTATCTTGATTTTAATTATTGTAAAACATTATTACAAGTTTTAAACATTGTTTTTTTTGAAAAATTATTACATACAATTTGTGAATTACAAATTTAAAATAAATATACTTACATTTTGGACTTTTTTAGTTAAAATAATATACACTGAATTTATCATTTGCAAAAATGGGAGAGCTTAAATTACAAATTCCACAAATTATGATCATTATGTCATATGCTAAATAATTATGAGACCATGAAAATTTATTTTGAAAAATCTTAAATGACTTAATACGCAGGTTCACTCTCTCAATATGTACACGTGCACTAGCTATGTCTTTATTTAAAAGTGCCTCAGCTTTAGAAAATGTTGTTTTGTTTTTTTAAAAAAGGAGGTCGGATCAATTCAATTTGTTTTCTAAACATAAGTCGTCATTTAAAAATCCCTTATCTACCATAATCCCATCAAATCTTTCCATCATTCCTATTAATCTACTTTTCTCGAATATTGCTTTGTCTGAAGCTCTACCTCCATATGGTTTACTTACATATGTTATAAGTCCACCAGGTGATATACCTATTAAGAATTTTAAGGTAAACGTTGATTTATAGTTGCTATAGGATTTAATACGGCATGTTAAGCATTTGGGTTTTTGAGTTGCAATCTCTGTACAGTCTATAATTACTCTGGTGTTACTAAACTTTTCAAAACAATAAGGTATATTTGATAAAATTTCCTGTTTTGATGGCCAATATATGACACTATTTAAAATCATACCTAGTGATGGTATAACTGTGGTATAAATTAATCTACAAGATTCAGGTGAAACATTTTTGAACAATTTCGATAATACTACAAAAGGTAAATCTTGTTTAAATTTCATAAATACCATGACAATTTGTTCTTTATAACTCAAATTATGAGAACGTTTATCTGGAAACTGCAAGCGATGCAGTTCTTCAATCTTATTTAATAACTCAAATGAAGGTATTCCAGTCAAAGTATATACATTTTTAGATGAGTTAATTATTGAAATAAATGGAACCATTAAATCACCACTAGTGACTTCAGTGGACACATTAGTCGTTGTGCCTTTATAATCAATTTGATCATACAATTGTTTGATCGTTTCAGCAGTATCATCTTCATCAACATCAGAAATGTTTTCTGAACATGTTGATTGAAGTGGCGATAATTTAAATTTAAATAAAATTACGAATTGAATATTTTTAAATCAAGAACAAATTCACCTTTTCTTGTATTTCAACAGAAGTAGAAGTTTCACATGAATAATTTAAATTTGTAGATGTGGGTAAATCTCTTTTCTTCGGAGAGCGTCTTTTTTTAGGAGATTCTAGTGTAACTGTAGACTTTGGCAAATGTAGACTCGGAATAGCAGTAGGCTTAAGTCATTTCCGTTTAGTATTTACTACTATACCATATTTTTTAATAGAACCATTACAACCCAACTAACTTAATTAGCATATGGTATTGGTTCTAAAATATTACCTGAAGGCATAAAGTCGTTTTCAGTGAAGTGGAGTGAACACACACGAAGTTGTGTCTTTTTCAAAGATTCTTTTCCAAACCTTAGGTTCTTTGCCCATATACACCGCCTGTCAACTAATTCCTCTTTACCCATTTTATTAATCCAAAGCACCTTTGGATCATTTTCTTTGGGAAGTAAATGAAAACTTATATTTTCATTTGTAGAGTAAAAAGTTTTACAACCAAACACACCACAATAGATTCTACTGTTGCGAGAAACAGCCATTTTACCTATACTTTTTTTTTAAAAAACAGAAATACAAAATACAACAAGTACACACTACACAGCTACTGAACTAGCAGGTACTAGCACAGACTATATGATTTTTTCATATAGACTATAGTCTGACTCTGTGGACTGTGGTACTAGATAGGATAGTGTATATGTGGCGGTTTGACAATTTTATTTAACCTGGTTAAGCCTAAAATATACCACCCGGCACCCACTGCACAAATTTGACATTTTACTAAATAAAAAATCAGTTGGACTGAGTTATTAGTACTTATAAATTATTATGTATTAATAATTAATAAATATTATTAACTCATAATACAAATTAAAAAATATAAAATATCTCAGAATAAATAAAAAAGTTAGGCACTATTTTAAACTATTTCAATATTATTAATGATGATCACCCAACCACCCAACCAAAATTTTGACCGAGGCCATGTTCAAGTCGCCTCTGGTATAAGTCACAGAATAGAATAAAGAGTACTTAAGACTTAAGATATTGACTGAGCAGTGAGCGGCTGACCGTTTATTTTTATTATGTCCAGTGTTGGTATGGGTGATTCAGCTATATTCCCACCAGGAGCTATAAAATGTCACATGCCAACTAATGCCTCAATTCCGGTGGCGGAAAATTTGTGTGGAGCCAAATTATTTTATCCATCTGAGTTATCACGTATTGTTTATTATCAGTATATTATGATAAGATTATTTGATAAGATAGGTATTTTGGATTTTATAGAAACACAATATTGTAGTTTTAAATTATGAATGACATAAACATATTATATTTTATTTAAACACAATATAGTTGTAAATTATTAATACATAATATAACATATTAAATTAATACACAGTTAAATTGTTTTCCTTCTTTAACACGTTTTGGATGTACACTTTTTTGATGGCGTTTTAGTCCATCAAGACTAGCAAAGTTTTTCTGACATAATTCGCATATCTATTTCATAAAATAATATCCTTGTAAAGTGGTATAGAATTATACCTGTATATGTTAAATTTTAACTCTATTTATATTTACATTATTATATTTACTGGGGTTCTTCTAAACGTTAAACGTTGTGGACGTGTGGTGAATCTTTATATGCCGTTCTAAAGTATCTCTAGGATTGAATTTTTTATAACATTCACAGCATGCCTACAAATTGTAACTATAAATTAAAAGTTATTAATTTAATTGATAAAATTACTTTGTACTTACAAAATTATTTTCAACAATGTTATTTTGAAGATTGCAAGTCAAAGAAGTTGTTTGATGACGTTTCAAGTTAAATGCTTTGGAAAAATCTTTTCCACATTCTCCACAAATCTATGAAGCATGACATACAAATTAAGTAGAAAAAGAATTATTAATTACTTTATAAAATCAAAATAACTTACCACCATGACTGATTAATACATAAACCATAAAAATAAATAAAAAATAATATAGTTATGAGTGTGTACTTATCTTTGAAAGTCGATCGACAAACTATGAGATCCTCTTTTCCATTTTGACATAAGAAAATTTATTTTTAATAATTTGGGAATTTTTGGTCATAAATATTAAATTTGGATCAGTTTTACTCAAAGTTAAACAAGTTAAAAATCAGTAAAATAAGGTAATAATTAATAATATATAGTATAATATAATATTATAATATAATAATATATAATTATATAGTATACTGGTATACTTTAAAATTTTAATTATTTTAATTATTATTTTAATTTATTCTAATCAATTCAATATTATTATTATGAAATATCTTATCAAAATATATTGATAATAAAACAATACGTGATAACTCAGATGGATAAAATAATTTGGCTCCACACAAATTTTCCGCCACCGGAATTGAGGCATTAGTTGGCACGTTAAAATGTCCCTTCGGTGCCGCCATCTAGCGGATTATAAAAATATTTTTCATTATTATCTAAAATATAAAATCTACAACCCAGTATAAGGTAATGATACTATTTTTTAGACACTGCTCTATATTATAGTACCCACTGGCCACTACCCAGTATTGTACAGGTGACTACTGTCTACACTCTACTGTTGTCTGTTGTACTTTGTTTATTTTAATACATAAATATTAATAAATACAAAATTCAACTGTTTGTACTCAGTAGCTTTAAACTACTTTTGCCAAGATATCTGGTTTATTATTTATATATTTATTATCTACAAGGCTACAACTTCAAATATTTATTCAAACATTCCATAGGCCTTATATGTATATTGCACACAATTTAACTTTTATTGAGATCAATATTATTCCTATTTTGAGTTTTATATAATTTTATATATTAAATATAATAGTAATACTTTATGTATTTAAAAATGAAAATAAAAACTTAAAAAAAAATGTAGAACTTGTACGATGTTTATACATATCACAAATTAAAAAATAGTAACATTTTTATATATTTAAAAATAAAAATAAAAGCGTAGGACCTTTAAGATGTTTACACAAATCACAAATTAAAAAATAGTAACATTTTTATATATTTAAAATGAATAGTAAAAACTTTAAAAAAAAACGTAGGACCTTAACAATGTTTACACATATCACAAATTAAAAAATAGTAACATTTTTAAATATTTAAAAATAATAATAAAAACTTTAAAAAAAACATAGGACCTTTACGATGTTTACACATATCACAGATTAAATGATAAAATATTTTATATTAAAAATAACATAAAAAAAAAATCTTAGTCTTTTTTTGTAGTTATTCTGGTTATGTAACTTTATATGCTCATTAGTTACTTTGAAGCTTGCACTTGTTTGGTTTGTCTTGAAACGATGAACGGATCATAGTAACTGCATTGACAGTGTTGTCTCCAAGTCTGTTTCTCTTCTTCGTCTTGACATCATTTAAAACAGAAAAGATACGCTCAGCTGAGGCATTAATATGCGGCAAGGACAAAACTAGTTTTGCTAAGGTGCAAATGTTGGACAATTTTAAAATGTCACTAGAAAAATCTTTTGCTTTATTTATCTCCTGCCAAAATCCTGGGATATCCAAGTTTTTTAATTTCAATACTTGTTCATTGCTGTAGAAGTATAATATTTCACACCATTCTTCTACAGCTTTATTTTTGTCAATAAAATTTTGAAATTTAGCCCTCGTTAATGGTAAATCTGTGACCATACTTCTTTTAGTAGGATCAAGACATATTTTTGGGTCTAAAAATTGAAATTCTTTGAAAAAATTATTGTCAATTGGAAGTCTAATAGACATTTCCTCAGCAGCTTTAATATAAAAAGTCAAGCATGTATTTATAAAATCACTCTGTATTATTCTGGGAAGATGTTTGATAAAATCTTCACATTCAGCACCAACAAATTTTTCAGACTCTGGTAAAAAAATATTGGGATTGGAAAATTAAATTTTATCTATTTCATCAGTTATCATATATTCAGGTTTTATAAAGTTTTGTGCAAATGTCTTATAGAGTCTTAATGAATGTCCGTAGATTTCATGAATAATAATATTTTTAGTTTGAAACATGGCATTAAACGAGTTGAAAAAATTTAAAGAATATTTTAGAGAATAAAAGTATGCTTTGACTGCTTTGTTGTTTAAAGTATCTAGTATTGTTTCTACACTTTTCAAGTGATCTTCATTTACAGCAACAAGAAAATAATGTGTTAAACTATTCCAGCATTCTAACATCCTTACTACACATTGGTGCACCGCCAACCATCTAGTGTCTGCTAGCTTCAATATTTTTTTCTTCTCTTCACCAAGAAACTGTTGAATGTCTTGAAGAATTGCAGTTTAGCACTACCCGAAATGTAAGTTGCTACCTAAAAAAATATGAATAGTTTACAAAAATATGTGATAAACTTCATAATTACCGATCTAATTAAATCTTCGGAAGAACGAGGTAGTTTTGCTGCTGCTTTGCTAGCAACTAGAGCAGCTGAGTGACAAATATACTGCATTAGCACAAGATTTGGGAGATCATTTTTTAAATGTGCAAAAAATGAGTTATTTTTACCAACCATTACGTTGGCACCATCAATTGCAACTATAATCAAATTCGTTATTGGAATTTGTTTTGTACTCAAACACTTCTTAAATTCTTCACACATTTTTAATGCACTGCAATCTGTAGCATCTATTCTAACTAATTCAAGTAATCTTGTGTGAATAGTTCCATAGTCAGGATGAACATGGTGTACAAGAACACAAAGAAATTTATAAGTACAGATGTCTGTGCTTTCATCTACCAGCACAGAAAAGGGGCATTTACGAATAATATTTATATAATATCCAATAATGTAAGTTTTAACCAAAAATGCAAATTAATAAAAAAAATATCTTATTTTTATTATAGGTATAGTATAGTAGGTATATTTTACTCAGAGTTATATTATTTTGTGTTGTTTTACTTTAGTTGAATATTACTGTAACGACTGGAAAACAACAACTTTTTACATATGCAAGACTAACTCCCCTTAAAGCATCAATCATTAACGAGGTTAGTTCATATTAACACATCTTTAAAATCAAAAAGATATACATTATTTTAAAAATTTTAAATATTAATAAATATATCTTTATGTTTTTATGTACCTAATTCTTATTGTTGATGACATATTATGTTTGTTTGAATTATTTATCTATTATACTTAAATATGTGTTTCAGAAGGATGATTTAGAAAATATGTTACTAGCTACTCCATTAACCCATAAATTGTTTGATCTGATTAGTAATGAAACTACAGTTATCAATATTCCTCGGGGATGGAATAAATGTTTATATACCGGCAAGCCTGATTTTGTCATATTCTTTCAACTTGTAGCAAAAATTTCTCCAACTGTTATTAACAATGAAATACTTCCATTTTTTGGAAAGACAGTTATTTTTGATAGTAATTGTAATGTCCAATACAAATATTTAGGAAAATCAATTCCAGAAGAAACCAGAAGTAACAGTTGAATCACTTGAATGTTTGATATCTCAATTTAATAAAAAGTAAGTTTGTAGAGGAGTTGACGTTAAAAACTAAAATGTTGAGTTTAAAACTCAAGTAACGTATATTGATTCCTTAAATAAATGGAGATATAATAATTGTTGTATTATACTTCAAAAACAAAATATAGTGTGTGCTTCTTGTAAGTTAATTAATAGAACATTTAAAAATAATAAAGTCAGAAGAAAATCTTACACTATTAAAAGAATATCTTTAAAAGTCACACCTAGCAAAAAACATAATTTAAAATTACTCCGCATACGTAACCATTTAAAATAAAAACATAACCGTAAGTTAAAACATACAATTGCAAATATCAAATTGACTATAGAGGATTATAAATAGAAAATTATTAATTTAGACGAAGAGACAGTTTTGAAGAAAATTCCATCAGGTAAACATCAATTACTGGTTGAAGAAATATTAACTACATCTAAGCGTAAAAACTCTAATGGCAATAGGTATTAAGAAGATTGGGTTATATTGTGCTTATTACTCCACATGAAATCTCCATCAGCTTATTCATTTTTACGAATTAATAAGATTATGCCTTTACCATGTATTAGAACAATCAGAAATTACTTATCGACCATAAATACTGCATGTGGTTTCGATGAAAGTTTTTTTGAACTTTTCAAAAAAAAAATAGCATCAATAAATTCTGTAGTAAGGAGAAAATAAGCTGGGAACTATTTAGTGGTAAGGGGAGAATGGGCGGTGGTGAGTGGTGACAAGGTAATGGTTTTTAGGTAACACACTTGCGTGTTGTAATGTGATACGATATATAGAACGATGCGTGATGTACGGTGAGTACGCGGGTTAATGATCTACTTTAACGAGCAAGGGACGCATTTGGCGAACCGGTTGGCAGTGTCCTTCGGGGAATGATGGTTCAATGACCCCCGCTATAATGTTGATGGTAGGTGATATGCTATAGTATGCTTTGTACGCAGTGCGTGTATGTGTGTGTACCTATACGTTCACGTGTCTGTGAATTGTGTAAGATTATGTTGGTTTTTTAATTGTTTCCGCATAAGATCGCCCTACTACTGTGTTGTACCTAACTGCCTAATGATATTTGAATCACCTACTTTTATTATATAAATATTCAAACACTTACCTCACTGCAGCTGGTTTTCTTTTAAGTGGTTTGTAGTTCTTCGGGGTCGTGTTCAACAGTCGGTATCACGATGACAATATATGTATATTCTTTTATGTGATCTGTAGGATTTCGTATACAATTTCTACCTGTGGCCGTCACCATATGTTCTCAAAATCCTTACATTCGCAACAGGAGTACGTATAGTCTCTCCAGCAACCGAATGTAATTTAAAGTGATGAATATTTGTTATTACACATTTACATCTTGAACACAGCTCTTAGAGTTCTTACATTCGTGACAACTAGTACGTGTAGTCCAATCGTCGACCGAATGTAATTTAAGTTAAGTAAGCACTTACTTCTATACTTATATTCTACGTATAGCTCTTAGAATCCCTACATTCGTAGCAACTAATACGTATAGTCCAACCGCCGACCGAATGTAATTTAAGTTAAGAGAGCACTTATTACTACACTTATATTCTACGTATAGCTCTTAGAATTTCTACATTCGTGACAACTAG